TCCACAGTGTGAGCGATAAGGGGATCCTCTCTCAAACCTGGTAGAAGTGAAGACTGGCATCAGTGGTGGGCCTCTGGCATCCCCACATGCACCATGGCACAAGCACTTTCACACACACACACACACACACACACACACACACACACACACACACACACACAAAACCAATGACCTAAAGACCTCCCACGAGGCTCCACCTCTCATGGTGCCACTACCACCTTTCAAAAGCATCAAGCTGGACCTTCTGGAGATGTCTAAGAACCACGCTACAGCACTCAGTTCACCTGTAAAGTGTGGTTATGATGGCTGCCACGCATCACAGAGCCGTGTGTGCATTCGGCCCCACAAGCCTGCCATACAGTGGGTTTCACATAAATAGCTCAGTGGTTTTTCTCTCCTGTGAAGCCGATCCCTTGTGACTCCAGCCCTTCCTGCTTTGTCTCTAACCTTTCTCCCTCTGTGTAGCGTGCTCAGCACAGCATCTACCCAGTCCGTAGTTTATAACGTGACAGCTACTTTCCCACGGTGAACACAGAACTCAGGAAACAAACCAGAGCTGACAAACTACAAGCATTTAGCAGAGGGACACTTGGTGTTCACATGCTGTGCCAGGCACTGGGACAGAGAGGTGGCTGTGCTCCTGTCCTTCAAGAGATACACCACGGGTCTCATTTGTTTTCCCAGCATCGGGTGGATAGTAGGTGTGCAACAAGATTTGGGGAAACCGGCGGCAACAGTTGATCTTGGTGACCACGTGATGGACTGAGCAGGTGGTGAGAAGTTAGTAAAGCAGACCATGTGGGAGTTTACTGAGATTAAGGAGAGAATAGCTACCCTGAGTACAGGCGGCACTATCCCCTAGGCTGGCAGTCAAAATGGATGAAAGAGAAAGAAGAAAGTTTGTCTAGGGTGGAAAGGAAAAGGGCCAAGGAAAAAGGGAGCGAGGTGGGGGAGGGGGCTTCTCTAGAAATGACCCCACCTATGCCTTGCACACGGAGCTCCCAGGAAGGCCTCAAGATCAGCTCCAAGGGTGAAAGAGCATGCGTTTTCCCTCCACTCCATCTACTGTAGCACTCCAACTTTCAACTGCTCTTCTAATTCACCAAGTTTAAGATCCATCCGTAAAAGCCTCTCAGCTTTAAAAGAAAAAAGTTGTTTCATTTATTTTTTAATATTTTTCTTTATTCTTCGACAATTTCATGGGTAATACAAACGTATCTTGATCCTATCTACCCCCCAGCTTTCCCCTCTGGCTCTCCTCAGGCATCCCGCAACATGTCCCCTTCCCACCTTCATTTTCCCCATCTCTCTCTCTCTCTCTCTCTCTCTCTCTCTCTCTCTCTCTCTCTCTCTCTCTCTCATAATCTACTGAGTCCGATTAGTGCTGTGTGCTGGAATGCTGACTGATTCTATTGACTTGCTCTTGTACAGGTCTTGGGCAGGTAACCGTAGCCTCAATGAGCTCATGAGGGCAATGGCCATGCCGGGTCCAGAAGATAGCATTGCACAGCTCTCCGCCCCATCATCCAGCTCTAGTATTCTTTCTGTCCACTCTTTCTGTTCCCTGAGCCTTGAAGAGTGGGGGTGGAAGATGATAGAGATACATCTCATTTATGAGTGAACACTCAACAGTTACTTATTCTCCACACTCTGACCAGTTATGAATCTGTATTAGCTGCCTCCTGTGCAGAACAGAAGCTTCTCTTACAAACATTGAAAGCAAGGCTGAAATCTATGGGTACAAACCATAAAGATTTAGAAGGCAGTTTGACAACTTGCCCATTTAAGTAGTTCCCTTCCTAGAGCCTCTGACCTCCTTTGCCATGAGCTTTTGACCAGGTTTACAGTATGGGGTACATTTTCCTTCTTTGGAGGGGGCCTCAAATCCAATCAGAAGGCAGTTGGTTGCCCCCATACCCATCATGCCAATTGTACCAATGGGCACCTCTCGCCAGGCAAGTCAACACTGTACCATTCAGGGTTCACCGCTAGATAGTTCCATTGATGCCTTCTCTCCTGCAGCCTGAATAACACCCTTTCTGAAATGTAGCCAGTAAAGACAACATTCTCACTTCAGTTCTGGCTTGATCTCCATAACCTAAGTATGCTGTGTCTTCATAATATTCCAGTTTTACCATTTAGTTAGAGTGGGCAACTAAGAGCAACGGCGATAGCCTATGCTGCTTGGGAGGTCCTGTGTCCCACACCTGGTACTGAGAGACAAAGTGATTGCAGTGACTTAACCATAGTGTGAAAATATTAAAATTGGACCAAAAAGAAAGACTGTTGGTTGGGGATACTCGGCTCCCACCCCACTCCCCCCAAAGAACTTGCAAATCACATCCTTTGGATGATTTGCCCTCTCACCCTAGAAGCACGCTTTCCACAGAAAATCCGAGTGGGTCCAAACATAAACAGTGGATGACTAAAGCCCCATGTGGCCACCATCAGAACCGTACCTAAGCAGTTCTCTGGCCTCGCCTGCTTTACCCTCCACGTGTTACTGGGAGGATCTTGTATATGCTCCAACTCCTGGTTCTGAGAAACCCTCCAGTGTGGCCTTGTGATTACCCATAGTTGACCTCCCCGGTGCTGCCCCTGACCCCTCCTCCCAGGGTTCCCTACCATCCAACTGGCCTGATTTCCATGATGACCATCTAGGACTCACCTTTGCCCTGAGGGATGGATGCCCCAAGCATCTTCAACAATCTCCTATTCCTTCTACCAAGCGTAAGAAGGATGGGGTGTGGTGTGATGGACAGACAGGCACCACCTGCCGAAGCTCCTGATAACGGATGTTGGAAGCCTGGGCCTCACTTCCTTCAGGGCTTTCTCATTACAGCCCCTTTAGCCCCTGGCTGACAACCTGATAACTCTGATCACACAATCTTCAGCTGCTACTGCAGCTGCCTTGAGACTGTCCTTGCAAAAAAGATTCCGGCATAAAAGATTACAGCTGAGATAGAAGCCTAGGAAAGGTGTCTTCCCTGCTTCCTTCTCTTCTTCCTCTCCTCCCCTCCGCTCTCCATCCTCTTCCTCCTCCCTTCTTCCTCCTCTCCTCTGCTCTCCTTTCCCTTCTCCTTCTCCCCATTCCCTTCTCTTCCCCACCCCATCCTTCCCCCTGTCCTCTTCCTCCTCCTCCTCCTCCCTCCTCCCTTCCCCTCCTCTTCTCTCTTTCCTTTTCTTCCTTCTCCCTCCTCCCTCCCCCTCCTCCCTTCTCCCTTTCTCCCTCCTCCCTTCTTCTTCCTCCCTTCACTCTCATCCCTTCTCCCCCCTCCTCCTCTCTTCTCCCTCCTTTTCCCATCTCCTCTCTCTTTTTCTCCTCTGCCTCTTCTCCTCCCCCTCCCCCTCGGACTCCCCCCCTCCTCCCTCTCTGGATCCCTACTTTATGGCTCCTCCCTTCAGTCCTCTCCCTCTTCTGTCTCATCTTTTCGCTCTTTCTTGTCTTGGTGCCAGAAACAGCCTAATTACAACGGAAAACTTGAAGATACAGAGTAAGGGGGAAACCCACTACCCAGAGCTGATTAAAATCTCCTATGTAATCTAATTTGTAAAGCTCAAATCATAATAAAATGTGTTACTCCCACAATTCCGAGCCAATCTGATTTTTAATAAGACTCCTCAGAGATGTTGCCAAGATCCCATCAGGCTGCCAACTCCAGACCTTCCTGCTGCCCCGACTCTCTGCTGCTCTAGGGGCCCCATGCCCTCCCTTACACCTCAGCTCCCCCGATGCCCATAGTTTGGCCCTGTGTAGGACAGCAATCCAAGTCCAGGTCATCTGTGGTGCTATGGAAAGGAGGCAGCAGCTGGCTTCAGGCTCCTTTCCCTTCATTAAATAACTGTCTCTTCAGGGATGGGGTAGGGAAAACTGAGGCTCAAAACTCAAGTGGACCCCATCCTGGGCCCAGCTCTGCCACTCATTATCTGTGTCACCCTGGGTAGACTGCTGTGCCTCTCTGATCCTGATTTCTTTGTCATAAAATGGTGATTGTTTTTCTGCCCTGAAACATTAGAAGTCTCTAGGAGAAGGCGATATGAGGAGCACTGGCTACAGTCATCCCAGATTGTCAGGTCCCACTGTCCACTCAACTGTGGCCTCCCAGGAGGCCATATTACTTCCCTTCTTCAGTAACTGTCCCCAAGCCAAGGCTTAGGGACCCGCATGGAGCCTAGCTCAGCAGATGAGACCAACCCTCAGAGCCAGAATGAGGCAGGTTCATGGCCCCCAACCTGCCTCAGATAGCCATTGACAAACGCCTCAGTTCCCAGTCCTGCAGAGCTGTCTGAGGGATCCTACTGTTAGCACAGTTCACCAGGCAGTACACCCAGCATTGGAAGTACTGAGTCTGCTCAGTACTACTCTCCTTTGTCCGCTACTTATGCCAGCCTCCGAGCTCCACATAGACAGAGTGCCTGCTGTGGTCAGGCTGTGACCAGACCGAAAGAATTCATGAGCTGATGTTTAAGATCTCAGCACAGAGCCTGGCATCTCATGTGTGCAGCAAACTATTTGTTTAATAAAATATGAACCAATAGCTTCCATGGTTGTGGCATCTTGCTTTGAGGTGTGGATGAGAGGCATGGACTCCCAAGTGATTTCCAAGGAGGAGACTCTAAGAGCCAACTGCAGGAAAGGATAGAATAAGAAAGTTGTGCATAGACATGGCCACCAGCTCCTACCAAGGCCCTACTAGCCACTCAGATTGCCTGGATTGCCAGGTTGAACTAGATCCATAATCACTCTTGAGCAAATGGAGTTAGGTGGGAGTCCCCCAAGAAGAAGGAAGGTACATGTCCCATGGTGGCTGAGGTTCATCTCCAAAGTCAGCATCAGGGTTGGATGGAGGGGCTGGAGTCTGGAGTCTGGAGTCAGCCCCTGAAAGATGAGAACAAGGCTGGAGTCCTCGGGACAGCCTAGCTCTGCTTCTACAATGTGGAAGGAGTCATCCAGGAACTGTTGCCCATGCTGACTGACCACTGTGCCTCTCCCTCTCCAGGCCAAGTCTACTCCTTCAGCCAGCAACCCCAGGACCAAGTGGTGGTGTCAGGACAACCGGTGACGCTGCTGTGTGCCATCCCAGAATACGATGGCTTCGTCCTGTGGATCAAAGACGGCTTGGCTCTGGGTGTAGGAAGAGACCTCTCAAGTGAGTACTCCCAGATTCCTCCACTCATACACAAAGGCCCGGTGCCCACACTGCCTCATCCCATCTGCTCCACTATAGAACTCCCATATTCCATCTCCAATGTCATTCAGGGCTCAAATCCCCAACCAGCTCTGCAACTCTCCAGACAGGCAAGAGCTGGAGCTAGATCCCTAGGAGTTCAGGAGCCTCTGGCTACATGAGTACTGACCCCCCCCCCAACTCTTATGGTCAGTCCTAAACCTAGCACAGAATCCTTTTCCAAGCCAATGCGATTCCCATGAAGTCTGATTTCCAAACATCATGTGCCCCTGTTTCTTGGCCGAATATGAATCCTCATTTATCAAGGCATGATCCAGCTTCCCACCTAAGGAGACAGCCAGTGAACTGAAAACTCACAAGAAAACCTGCTTCTCCTCGGATTCCTCTCAGGATGGGAAGAAAAGGCAGGAAGGGTTTACACTGACTGCCAGCCTTGTTCAGCCACCCAGGCAAGCTGCACCGTGGCGGCCTCCTACAGCTGCTAATGACTGGCACATCAACTCGGTTGTTGGTGCCAGGCCATGTCATTTGGTAACTATTTTGCATGGCTACCTCCGGAAGCTCATCTAAACACCTCGCCAACCTACACTTTCCCCAGGGCATAAAGAATGCAGCCATCCTCATGTCACTTGCCTGTTCTGTCATTACTCTGCCCTGGGATGGGTAGGAAAGGGGTTGACTGCTGGGCTGATATGCATGATGGAATTGAGAAGGACAGATCTGGGTGTCACTCTCCAGCCATCTGGGAATGGCTGGGAATGGGGGATGGATGAGAAATATGCATTCAACTGGTAAGTAGCTTCACCTTGTTCATGCTGTACAGCTGCAGGAAAATAAAAATCGAAGTACGCTCAGAAACACTGGGGCTGGGAAATTAATATTTTAAAATGTGAGTTATGTCTTGCCAAAACTGTATATTGAAACATTATAGCAATGGTCAATAGCAGTCATAGGGCCTAATGCTGTAGCCCAGCTAAGCATAGATAAAAATACCCAAGAATATCTCCAAAATATACTGTGCTGCCATAAAGTTTAAGTGTTATGGGAACCAGCCAACTTCAGAGATGCTCAGCTCTGGTACCCTGGAGAGATGGAGGATGCTATAACCTTCCCAAATGAGTATTGCTTATGCTCTGGACAGCTCTGAGCCTGGACTGACACCATGATGAAGGGGACTGTCTGGACTTGCTGGTCAATGATTATCATCAGCCTTTGGTCAGGGGCAGCGGCCAAGTGGAGGTCCCAGGTCACTAGGGACAGATCATAGAGTGGGCATCAAGGCAGAGGCAGCTGCATCTCTGGTCTGAAACTCCATTCCTAGTTCTCTGGGATCCAGGATCTGGGCCTGCTGGGTGCTGAAGACAAGTTGATCCAATGGTCTGGCCTGGCTTCCACTCCAGCCTGATCCAGTCACCGAGGAAGACAGGCCCTGGACTCTCTCCTGAAGAGCCTATAAGCTCAGGCTCCTGAGAAATATCTGCCCTGTATTTAATCATCCATTCCCAAAATGCCATCCTGACAATAATGATAGGTTCTCACAAGCTCCATAAACATTGCTTGTTTGCCTGGTCAGAAGGAACAGAATAGAATACACCTGAATTCAACAAAGATCTGCTGAGTGTACAAGGCAGGGAAACGGAGGGCCAGTGTCCCAGGACTTCCCGCTACTGTAGCTCTGCCGTCTTCCATTTCAACCATGTCACCCTCAATGCACTGAACATGAGTCTCTCGTTGACACTGTAATGTCTTTCTGGTCACCAGGACTGAGACACCAGAAGAAAAATGTTTGTCAACATGTCTTTGGGTGTTCTCCTAAGAAGACCAGCACTTCTCAGATGTCTCATGATTCTATGATTGTCCAAAGGGAGAAAAGGATTCCACACACCCCTTTTATTTGAAAGATAAACAGAGTAGGAAAGCCAGGCAGTGGTGGCGTACACCTTTAATCCCAGCACTCGGGAGGCAGAGGCAGGTGGATCTCTGTGAGTTCGGGGCCAGCCTGGTCTACAGAGCGAGATCCAGGACAGGCACCAAAACTGCACAGAGAAACCCTGTCTTGAAAACAAAACAAAAAAAAAAAAAAACAGAGTAAGAAAAAAATTGATCCAATTATATTTCTAATCTCGGCCCATGAAACTCTGTCTGCTCCCTTCCAACATGGACACCTCCACTCTAACTCCCTAACATTGGTACTTTTTTCATTGTGTGTGTGTGTGTGTGTGTGTGTGTGTGTGTGTGTGTGTGTGTGTGACATATACATGCATGTGTGTGCAGGTGAGTGTGCCCATAACGTTGTCTTATGGTTTCTATTGCTGTGAAGAGACACCATGACCACAGCAACTCTTATAAAAGAGTTAATTGGGGCTGGCTTACGGTTCAGAGGTTTTGTCCATTATCATCGTGGCAGGGGGCAGAGTGGCACACAGACAGACATGGTGCTGGAGAAGTAACTTAGAGTTAGTTCCACATTGGGATCTTCAGTCAGCAGGAAGAGAGAGTAATACTGGGCCTGGCTTGAGCATTTGAAACCTCAAAGCCTACCCCGAGTGATACACTTCCTCCAACAAAACCACACTTACTCCAACAAGGCCACACCTAATAGTGCCACTCCCTATGAACCTATGAGGGCCATTTTCATTCAAACCACCACATGTGTGTTTATAGAAGAAGCCAGAGGTCAAAGATGGGTGTCTCCTTCAGTCAGTCTCTACCTAATTTTTGAGACAGGTTCTCTCACTGAACCTGGAGCTCACCAGTTGGCTGGCCTGCATGGACCGTGAGTCCCTGAGATCTACTGGACTCTGTCCCTTACCCCAATACTGTCATGCCAGCTTTGGGGTGCTAAGGACCTGAACTCAGATCCTCACTCTTGCATAGCAAGCACTTTACTCACTGAGCCAAGCAGTCTCCTTAGCCCTGCCGTTTGTACTGAAGTTAGCATGAATAAAGGATAGGGGTGGACGTTGGTAGCTGATACCTTTAATTTCAGCCCTTGGGGAGGTTAGTGTAGAACTGACATAAGTTCAAAGCCAGCCTTAGCTACAGAGGGAGACCCTATGCCGAATACTCAGTATGCAATAGGCATTCTACATAGATTATCCTGTTCTAATCTTCACCCATGAGAGGCCAGCATCGTCCCCAACTTACAAAGCTGAAGCACCAGAACAGAGTGAGGAGGACATAAACTGGGGTTTGAACCTACATGACAGGACGAGAGCCTAGACGCTCTGAGTCTCTGATGCCGTGGAAGGAACTAGAAATTCCTCCGTTGCTCTGCTCCTGTGTGTGTTTTCCAAAGATGCTGCCAATCCTTGAGATAGCATCGCAGCTCGCTGCCTAATTAGGCAAATACAAACAAACCCATCACTGATGTTTTTCCACAGCTCGGGGAGAGTGCGATCCTGCTGCTGATGGCTTTGCAAGACAACAGAAAAACACCATTTCCATCCAAGATGCCTGTGGGAGACAGACCTAATTGCAGAACAGTAGGGGGCAGTGGAAGGGGGTGCTGGAGAGCAGGGTGGCCAGCAGCGTAGAGGCCAGCAGCCTTTGGAAACCCAACCAGCTTCACCTGCCAGGGCCTACTGCCTTTGCCCACCAGAAGGCAGGAAAGTGAGTGAGAGGTGGACAGTGCCCTCCGTGGGTGTAGCTGATCCTTGGCAGCATTTCTGGTCGGCCCTAATCAGCTGTGGAGGTCAAGGTCCTTCAGTGTCATGGTGAGGACAGTATGGTCTCAGTTGTACAAGAGCCCACAGGACTTGTTGAGTGGTGTTCTGGGAGACCATGGCTACCCACCCCACTGACCAGGAGTAGGCACTGATGGGTCCTGGTGCAGTCACCCCCAGGGAGTCCTGCCCCACCTCTCAACCACCCTTAGCTTAGCCAGAGTGGTCTCCGAGGAGAGATGGGAGCCAGGGCAGAGTCCCATGGGGCAAAGGATGAGAGGAAAGCAGAACTCGGGTGAAGGGGTAGAAGGATAGCATCCTGACAGGACACTCTAAGAGGCTTCGAGCCCGAGACCCCAGAGAGAGCAAGGGCCAGTCTATGGCTGTGGCTGAGTCGACGTTTGCATTCAGCCAGCCGGCCACAGCAACTACTGAATGATTCATCATCTTCAAACTTTTAGTTATCTATTATTCATCACCTGTGTGTGTGTACTGAGGCCCCGAATTCCTAAGTGTCCTGAGTGCCTCCTAAGTGCTTAATCAGGCCCTGGGGCTTGGCGGCGGGAGGTAGGAATGCCCAGAAAGGGGCCACTATGGTTCAAGGTGCACAGTGCCCAGCATCTGAAGGGTGAGGCGGCATTCCCATTTCCTGTGTTTCCTTGATCCTTTCCAAGTAAATCCCTTCTTCCTTTTTCATTGTTTCTCTCTTGCTTGGTCCACTCTTTGTGAATCTCAGAGTCAGTCTCTCTCTCTCTCTCTCTCTCTCTCTCTCTCTCTCTCTCTCTCTCTCCTCTCCTCTCCTCTCCTCTCCTCTCCTCTCCTCTCCTCTCCTCTCTTTCCCTCCCTCTCTACCCTCCTCTCCCCTCCCAACTCTTAGCATCTCCTTAGCAAACTCCACTGAATACAGATAGCATTTCCCATAGCCAGGTCTGCCTGCTCAGCATGCCCTATACTTTTGTCTCTATTTTCCTTAGAGCTTAGAATCAACACCAGACACACACACACACACACACACACACACACACACACACACACACACACACACCAACATCCTGGGAAACTATTGCTTTTGTGCTCCTTTACACTGAGATCAAAGACCTGAGCCAGTGCCAGAGGGCTCCCACTGCTGCGACTCTTTATCCCCAGTGCCCACCCCACCACCCCAGCTCCCACTGAGCTAGGAAGGGAAGTGTTACTTCTCTCCTTTTCCTCTGAAAGCCCGGTCATTTTAGCCCGTGAAGTAAATTAGCAATACACAGATGAACAGGGGAAAACATGAGAGTCACCCATAAAGTAAGAGGCTCAAAAAGAGCCTGAAGGTTGGGGCTCTGATAGCACATCGAGCTCTAGGAAATGGTTCATTGGGTAAAGGGGCCTGCCGCTATGCCTGCTGACCTGAGTTCAATCCTTGGGAGCGACATGATAGAAAGAGAGAACTGACTCCCACTAGCTGTCCTCTGCCCTCTGTGTGGGTGGCATATCTGTGTTCACACACAGATAAAGAAACAAAAACAACTGAAAAGAGAGAAAAGGAATTAAAAAAATAAACAAGAGCTTGGGGTTTGGGGGGGTGCGTGGCCCTGTAAACTAGGAAGGAAGCAGTGAGGAAGCCACTCAGAGGAAGTCTTGTCATATAAATAGTTTCCTGTGTTCAGTCACCAGAAGGCTACCTGAGGTCTGCTCTGTCCAGGACAGGTATTAGATCCCCTAGCCCATCTTCCAGAAAGATCTCTCTTTGTCAGAAGGGAAGACGTCAGACAGGAAGACTTCTGCCTGAGCCACAATTCACTAGACGGACATTTCCTTTTTCAAGAGAGTTTTGGGAGCCAGACTATCTAAGAGGGTCACAACATCTCCAAATAGGGCCCTGGAAATTGGCACCGGGACTGTTTTGAGCTCTCATACCTTCCTGCTTTCTCCCCAGGTTACCCCCAGTACCTGGTGGTAGGAAACCACCTGTCAGGAGAGCATCACCTGAAGATCCTGAGGGCTGAACTGCAGGATGATGCCGTGTATGAATGCCAGGCCATCCAGGCTGCCATCAGGTCCCGCCCTGCACGCCTCACAGTCCTGGGTGAGTCACTGCCATACAAACATGCAGGGATTACACAAGGACTCTGGGAAACACCAAGGGCTTGGCTACTGAGTGGTCCTTTGGACAAAGTTGGTGCAGGAAGGCTCTCCACTGGATATCATCCCATCTGCCCTTCCCGCTTCTGCTCTCTCCTCTTTCTCCCCATCCACAGGGGACAGAAAAAGACCCCCACCTTAGCAAATCATACTGCCACCACCTGTCAGTGTCCTAGCCAGTGTGTTCGGCTGCACACTGGCGAGCAGAGGAGGCTCCTGGGTGCTCTGTGGTGCAAATGAGGCCAGGCCCGCGATGGCAATGCAAAGTCAGAGGAGAATATGACACAGTCTGAACGCCCTTTCTCCAAAGCTGACCTCCAAAGGGGCCAGACAAGCTCTGTACGCCCTGACCGCTCTTAAGAATGAGCCTCGTGGGTTGGGGATTTAGCTCAGTGGTAGAGCACTTACCTAGCAAGCGCAAGGCCCTGGGTTCGATCCTCAGCTCAAAAAAAAAAAAAAAAAAAGAATGAGCCTCAAGTTTGATCCTCCATGACTTCAGTGTCCATAGGGATCACCAACGACCCTTGTTCCAGACCTTTCCCACCCCTGCATTCCCTTGGAATCCTGGTTCTCTCTGGTCATTCCAATGAGATTTCATTTCAGGACCTTATTCTAACTGCTTTCCCCCTTGGTCTTTGTTTCAAATGTCCCTGAGACAGCCCTCCTGACGAGGTCCCCACTTCCTCAATGGGACAGACCTGCCCGAGGATGCAGTGGGGATTTACTCAGTAGCTCCTTAAGCTTCCCAGTTTTGATTAAGAGTTCGGCCCTGTCACCTCCTTCCTCTGGTCAGGTTTTCCAGAGATGGGAACTGTGAGAAAACGGTTTGCACATAAATGATCATCATTCACAGTAGCAGAGAAGCTCCCAGCAGCTCTCAAAGCTCCCCCAGACTGGATCAGGGATTGTTATCCCAGGTGAGAAACTGAGGCTCAGAGAAACAAAAGGCCTAGACCAGCATCCCCCTGCCTGAGCTCCTTGTTCCACCTCCCTGGCCCCATAAGGTTTCATCTCTGCCAGGCACATGTGGATGAATCCTGGGCAGGCAAGTGAGGAAAGCCCCGGCCTGGCCTTGGCAGGCTCCTGGCAGCTGCTATGGGGCTCTGGTGACAGGGTCGGCAGCTGGGACACTGCTCATGCTCTGAGATGAAATATTTAAGAGCGTGTCGGGTTATCTTCAGATCTACACAGCTAAACACAAGGGGTGCATGATTCCAAGGGCAGCAGCAGACAGGCCGCAGAGGACCATTTAGCAGCTTGCAGCTCGGCCTAGGCTGAGGCTGGGAGGGGGAGCTTCGGAACCTCACCCACCTCCAACCTGGGAGCCTGCTCTTCCTGGCAGGGAAGACGTGGGAAAGATGCTTTCTGTGAAATAGGTGGGCTGGGGGATGGGGCCAGGCAGGGGGTGCTTTAGAGGACAGACCAGGACACTACAGCAAGCAGTAGCCACTTTCCTTTCCCCCTTGAGATGGAGCTAAGTTGAGAAAGGGTCTGCAGTTCATTGTAGGGTTGAGAGGGGGAGATGGGGAAGACTTGGACCAGGCATGTTTCCTGATTTGGGCGTCGACTGCAAACCGGCAGAACACATCTGCCAAGTGATGCTGTAGGATGTTCGCCTTCAGAGCCCCTGTCCTCAGAAAACCCTCCTCTGCTCCCTCACACCCCGCCATGAGGCAGCTAGAGAATGCTCTGACGCCGTGCAGGAACTAAAGCAGGACACCACCTTGTCCTCAAGGTATAGAAGACTCACCGTCGGAGCCCAACCACGTAAGCCTCCTTGCTCCCTACTATCTCAGCTAATCAGCAAAGTATGCTGTATTGAAATTCCAGATTATTCCAGGTGCTTTACTGATAACCTCATGGAGAGACTCAGAGAGGCAAAGGCATGGACAGAGGTCACACAGCTTGATTAACATTTAAAATCAATTCCACGTTTCCAGCTCCAGACCAACGCTCTTTGCCCAGGCTTCTGCTCCCAAATGCCAGCAGAATGTCATCTGTCCACCTGGTTAAAAGCCAGGCTTCTCAGAAGAGGGCCTCAGGATTCAATCTGAACAGAACAGACCCAAATTTGTTTTGGGGTCACCTCTAAAAGACATCCACTCTTCTCTCTGCATCTGTCAAGGCCTTGGCCTGGCATTGTGCCTGGGTTTGTACGGGTGAGGTGTTTATTCAAGCCTAGAGGTCAGATGGAAGACTGACTGGTTATAGAGGCCCCATCAGGAAAGGAAGCTTGAGCTGGCATCTCCTACATCAGCCATTCTCCTAAGTAAACTGGATTTGGACACGAAGAGGCTGGCAGGCTCTGCCCACAGGCCTCCTTGATGCCTTGAGGCTCCACATTCCCGGCCTCGGCTGTTTTCTGCAGATGAAGAATTCCCTCTTCCCCACCCCAGGGAGTCTGAGGGCCTCTCCCAGTCTTGTAGATTGCCTCTAGTCCAGCAGGACTCCACCTGGCTAAGTTTCCACAGGTGTATATCCCTTCCTACTACCCCTAACTGGAAGCCAAACTGGTCACTGAAAAGGGCTCCTGGTCTGGGGATGAGACAGATATAATGGCTGTTATGGACTCTTAAGGTTATTAAGGCCGATTTCCTTCCCAACCAACCAAGACCCTCCACCTGCTATGCTGTGACATCTCAGCCCACGAAAGTGTCTAGGCCAGTTCCCCAAGGAGGGCAGCCTTCCCTGTGTTCCAGGAATAGGAGAGCTTCCTAATTTACTCTGTATTTGCCTGAGATAGATTTTTAATTAAATAAAGTAAGAGCTTGATTAGAACCTGCAGAAGATGTGAGGGCAGAATCAGATGGTATTCCGGCAAAATCGCAAAGCAAACACTCTGGCTGGAACACAGGGGAGCCCCGGGAGGTCTTCCATCAAAGCGCCAAGTGAGGAGGGCAAATACGAGAGATTATATAGCCAGCAGATGTGCACTGTTAAAATATGCATCTGCCAGCAGTGTGCTCAAAGAAGCCGGGGGGCCAGCTCTCCAAGCCTGCATGGCTCCGGGGAGGGTATGGGGACCGAACCGGCAGCCAAGCCTAGAGTCACAGACACATTAATTAGTGTTGTGTTTCCAGCACTCAGAAGCAATCAGACAAGAAGCAACTGAGCAGAGCTCTCGCTACCCTGGGAGGCAGAGGAGACAGGAGCCAGAGGATGAGGGGAAGGTGGGGAATGAATTGAGCCTATGAAGCCAAGCCCCCCAGACAAGGACGCTGTAATCCTGGTTGTGGTCAGCTTGAGTTCCCTCAACAATCCAGCCAGCTGCCAAGGGCTATGTTTGACTCAACTCACATCAAAACAGAGATCTTTCCAGATACAAATCAACTCAGGAAGTCTTGCTATTGAGGAAAGGGCCTCAGACTTAAAGTCAGCTGTGTGACCCTGACACCGTTACCCCACCTCTCTGGATCCCAGTTTCTTGGTGGTGACTAAAGAAATGATGTCTAAGAATTGTTCGGCTCCCAAAAGGCCTTATTTCCAGCCAGGAGTCCAATATGCCACATCAACTATTTTAGGAAAATGGGCCATTCCCCACTGGAGCCAAGCTCCAAGTGATGCCTGAGGCTGAGCAGGTACCTGATCGTGATGCCTCAGACAGCAGCCCACCTTGAAGATGGGCACAGCACCTCACAAAGTCTCACCAGGCCTTGGGCCAGGCTTCCCTACATACCCAGTTTTCACACACTTGTAGCCATCTCTGCAGCAGCTCAGCTTAGATGAACACTACAACCCCCCCAACACACATACACACACACACACACACACACACACACACACACACACACACACACATCAAGAGCTCAGGGTCTATAGGGCGCCATTGCTCTTGATCTTTCCAAATGCCAGAAGACTCAGGTAGTAAAAACTGGGAGGAGCCAAAGAGGAAGTAGAGGACACAAATTTGATCAAGACATGTTTCCTGAATGCCTTTCATTTCTAGATGTTCAAGATTCCTCAGTAAGTGGAAGATAAAGCCATCCCTGGCCTGGTGAAGCTTGCATTTAGCAGGGTATAATGACAGCTGGCAAATGACAATCAGATTGAGCAAGTAAACTGTGTCCTTCGCACGTCCCATGGTAATAAGTGCCACGGAAAAGGAGCAATAGAGCTGGGGAAGGAAAGTCAGAAGGGGGAAGAAGGGTTGGATGCCAGACCAGTTACTAAAAGGGCTTTGCGCCGGCTGCTCTTCCCAGGTCCTCTTCCTCCCAACCCAGTCTAATGTTGACTCTGCAGTCTTTGAGGATCCCATTATTAATCAGATGTCCTAACTGAACATGAATTATTTAGGATGGAAGCTAAGTCAGTTCAGATAAAGAGGGCATCTTTTACAATGATGCCAAGCCCCCGACACAGAGAGGGCACACAGATACACTCCTTAGTTAGTTTTCCCACTGAATGGGCAGCAACTCTGTGTTAGTCACTGCTCTCGCTGCTGTGACAAAGTCACAGACAGACTCGACTTAACTTCCGGAGGATTTATGTTAGCCTAGGGCTCAAGGGATAAGGTATAGCAGCTGAGACCAGTTCTGTCCAAGCCTTAAGTGTCATTGGCCAACTTTCCTCATACCCCACTGTGGGTCAGAAGTAGAGAGATGGATGAATGCTGATGCTCAGCTCTCTTTTGCCTTTTATTCCGTTTATTGTCTGGTCCCCTATCCCATGGATGCTGCCACCCCATTCAGGCTGGGTCTTTCCTCCTCGGTTGATCCTGTCTGGAAATACTCTCACACACATGCCCAGAGGTGTGATTCCTAGGGGGGTCTAAAGCAGTCAAGTTGGCAATGAAAATTAGCCAGCACAGGCTCCCAGTTCTCAACTCCCAGACTATAGATGGGTACGGAGAGGAGCTGTGCATAACGTGAGCACTTCAGTCATGGATGTAGAGCTAATATGGTGCTGAAGAGTGCAGGCTTCTAGATGATTCTGAGTCTAGGTACC